AAGATATCCAGTTTAGAAAAATACTGTTCCATGTAGAACTCATTATGCTCTTCATGCACATAAACTTTGATAAGACCAAAAGTTTTTGGTTAGGTGAATTTTCTTGTAACATATTGCGCTGATAATTTTTTCCCTCGCTGTGCGTGTTTAAATGAATAAAGTATTTAATTATTGAAATAAGGTGCATTTACTTGTATTTCATTTTTCATTTAAAGTTGATGATTCTTGAAAATCAAATACACAGTATTTGTTATAAGTATTTATAAATAAGAGAGGGCATAAATGAGAATGCTCGCATGAAATAATTCACGTTTTCAAAATTATAACATTTGACGTAATTATGCTGCAGAAAAAATTATGTTCCTCGGATCCGGAAATTTATGGTCCCCTACAATAGTCGCTACATCAAAGTCTTTGCAGGAAAAATATGCTATATACCTTTGTCAAATTTTACACACATTTTTCTCTAATTAACTGACTGCATATCTGCAGAGAGAATTACGTTTAACTTACTGTGGTCATACGCATCATACCCGAAATTTCATACAAATTGATGAAGACCACATTTCAAGCTTCTCTTGTTAGTTATGCAAATATACACGTACGCTCAGATTTTCAACATTTTTTTCCTCAAAAGCCAAGCCGCAGATGAATAAATTTTATTCTACATTTTGAACTCATTTTTTGATAAAGAATCACTTCTTACTTGCTTCTATACAATACTTTCTGTCACAATCTATGTATATGTACATATTTCTGTGGTTTCTAACTGTTTGAACGAAGCGTTCACATGGTATTCTTTTAAATTCTATTTTCTATAGTTTATCCAGTCATATTTTAACTGTAATGAAGTTGTCGATATTATTTTGTAAAAATTGTTTCGGGTATGGCTGTTGCTGACAAAATGATCGAATTGGATATGCTGTTGATCAAAGTATGACTCATCAGATTAAGTATATTTTGATTACCGTAAGATAAGATTATGATTATTAAAATTAAACTGTCTAATTGATCGTTAGTGGCGTGGTTTGAGTTGTTGGTTTATCCTTTATGTTCCTCTTTGTCAACGTGAATTTTTTCAGGTAACGTGAGGTTGTCTGTTCCCTCGATAAATCTTCTGTGAAAGCGGTATAAATTTTACGATCTCTGTTGCGTTGTACCATTTATAGTGTCACTGTGTACAAACTCGTAAAAATTTAAATAAAACCTGAATATAAGTCAAACTAAGTAAGACACTTTATTTCGACGTTGAGCACGTTTTCATACGCGTGTAATAATGAAATTACCGAAATATTGATCGCGTCATATCTGATTATTCTCGTGTATCGAATCTATATGTAATAAATGGCATTTAACGGCATATTTAGCTAATCAATTTTAGAAGATCCCACGCGCAAGGTAATCGGCCATTTCGTATGCAGCAACCTGGTGATAGAAATTTTATGTCCTTATTGTCCATTCGAATACCAGAGTACAGGGAATAATCGATGACTCATATTTTGGAAAAGACCTCTCCAAGGAACCTACATTATACTTTACAACAAGAATGGATTGATTTTCACTGTATTAACCATAAAAGCAAATCTGAATTATAAACAAATAAAATATATTAATATATTGCATTAAAATAATTTATTGTTTTATATTAATAATATATAATAATATATAATATTTCATATATTGTTTTATATACAGTGTACTACCACACAAAGTTATACTAGTAACCACTTTCAAGTACAGCAAAATATGGAAAAATATGTGAACGAAAATATCAACATTATTTTCCAACATTAGTCGGTTGTAACACTTCTGAGAATATTATATTTTACATCATTTATCCATCTTCAAAGTTCGGCTAATCTAATATCTTAAATCTTTGTTACAGAGAAAGTAGATTTCAACTTAATGTGCAAAATTATACCTCGAAGTAGAATTATGTAAAATTCCACCTTAAGACGCTCAAATTTTCACTTTCAACAAGATATGGGAAAACATGTGAATGAAAATATCAATGTTATTTCCCGACATTAGTCGACTATAATTCCTCTGAAAATATTTTCACGATTTATCTGTATTTATGTTTTAACTAAAATGTCAGCAGTTCCATCCGGTTAATCGTAGTATTTGCGAAGGATTCCGAAGACGTTTGTTTATATCTGCTATTCTCGCGATACTTCAGGAACTGTAGTTCCTGCACGAAGGATTTTAACAAGATTCGTGCTTATCTATATTTGCTCGCCTAGCTTTAGGCTGTTCGAATGAAATCTTAAAAGCTTCGTTCCTGAGGATTACGAAGACGCCTGTTCGCGTACACGTCCACGAGAAGTTCCACTTCATCCAAAATACTAACATCGTTCTTGAAACGACTTGATCACAGTTCTTACGAAGGGCTGTCCGGCAACTTTTACGAGCCTTTCTGGTATTATCTTCCTTCCAAAAGAGCTGATAAATCTGACTAATACAAGTACGATAATATTGTTTTTGTGAAAGAACGAATAAATATGATTAATAAATATATAATAAAAATTTGGCTGCATAAGTATGAATAAATAAAAAAATTGCAAAATTAATAAATGAAACTGCAATAAAAAATTAATAAATAAAAAATTTACATATATAAATGTATATTTATTTTATTTACCAGACTTAAATCTATATGTAGATATATATAGAAATTTTGGTATTTAGTGTTGTACCAAATTTAAAACTTTTATTGAAAACAATTTATTTTGGAATACGAACTATACTGAGATTTTTGTACTATATTTGTCAGATTTTTTTACTTTATTTCAGAACGCCCTTCTTTACTTTGTGAATGGTTCGATGATAGAAAATATCGTAAATCACTGATGATCCATATCATTGAATATTCCATTACCATCCCTTGAGAAGAATCCATACATTCGTTTCAGTTTATTTGTTCATCTAACAAATTTTATATCAATGATTGTCAGTTCTCAACTGAAATATTGACAACCAGTATTCGCTCGTATTTCTTCAAATTTATCAATATATCCCTTCTTGTTCAATCAAAATTTTAATATTTTTAATATAACAAGTTTCAATGATAGGATTACATGCAATTTTCACTTCCCTTTATATCAGGCATAATAAATATTCTAGAACTTTCATTTAATATCCAAAATTATGCTATATAGCAATTTTTAATGATAAATAACATTAAGTAAAAATTCCCTTTGCTTTGAAATAGAAAGAAACACTGCTCCAAAATTTGTATTCATGTCAAAAATTATGTTACTATGTAACAATTTTAAATTCTACATTACAAATGTAGAATATACACTAAAGACTAGAATAATATTCTAAATCTCTTATTTTAGGTTCAGACTACTGTTAACTAGAATATTGTTAGCGTCCAACAGTGGTTACCAACATTTAAGTATATGTCTCATGAAGGATATCAACCTTGACTCACTTAGTTACCTACCTGACTATTTATTTAACCATTTAACTAAACTATCCACAATGACTATCAACGTTTAATAATATATACCAAATTTCACTGCTTTTTCATATCCACATCTCTCCATCCAATCATTCAATACAATATGAAATCCTAAAATCTTAATACACCACACTATACATCTCAATATTGGAAATCTCAATATTTCTCATTCACTCTCTTCTTCTAATTATTCGATTAAAGTCCTAATAAAAATTATCCTAAAGAATTTCAACAACGTCCACCTACGTTTACTTTCTCCCCTATAATTCCCAATAGTGCAATAAAAATTCCAACATTATATAGCTTCCATCATTCCATTAGGATGCCGTCGAGGAATTTAAACGATGATTCTATATTTACCCAAGAAAAATATCGCACGAATATCACATTCGCAATTTCTAATTATTTAACAAAATAACTCCACTAGAAATTTTGTTGATCAATTTCAATACAATTTCCACGATAAACCATAATACAGGATCGCTTACGTCCATCTTTTTCTACACGATTTGTAACCGTTCAATAAAATGGCTTCCGCCGTTAGACGAAAATTCCAGCAGAAAAACTTGGACAATAATCATCTCGATTGTGCAACGCGAGCATTCCCCGAACGTTTAATCGCAGGATCAAAAGTTGACCGGTAGACCGATGTACAACCGGTACCACTACGCGATGGACGGAAATTTTAACGAGCGTCCCACGCGGGAACGGTGTGCGCGACGAGATCGCGCTGATAAGCGTGTTTTTCTACGTGGCGCACGGTCTGTCCGCCGTGCGAGCCGAATTCCCTGGAGAAATAAGAACAATATCGGGAACGCGGCACGCTGACGCGTAAACAGCATTTCCTAGCGCCGCCGTGGCTATGAAATGCATGATTGAACGTAATAAAAGCGCGGCCGTAAACTTGCCGCGGCTACATTTCGACGATTGCCGCGTTTTCATGCTGTACTTTCCTTGTCTTTGCCCTACGAAGCGAAATCTGTCGCGACACGCGTGAATCGATGCAAATCGTGGTTAAATTAGCGGCTGCGATAAGAAGCGCAAACAAAACGAGTCGAGCAAACAGACGAGAAAGAAATGTATTAATTGACGGCTATTCAAATAGTAAAGGGAATCGGTTACACCGGATGGTGACGTTAAAATTTGAAGGACGAAAGATAACGCGACGTATGGTCACATTTTGAGAACTGTTTTCATAGAAAAAACCATGTAGGCGAGGATTTGTTTATCGTAGAAATAGCCTGACGTTTGAACAAGGTTATATGGTTAACGTTGAGTGTAATAGTAAGAAAAAGGAGCACCACTGATTCGCGTCGTGTCTTCTCTTAATTGACTAGCGTTGTGTCACTGTTGATTTCCATTAAAGGACGGATTATTTCACAATGTACGACAATCGTGCATCATGCTGATTGTCGTGTACGGTTTGACAGCTCGGACTGACAGATTTCGTCCGATGTCGTGAAATCGGCGGGAATGGCCGTGAAACGGACGGCCGGCACGCCGGATGGATCTATGAAATTTCACTGTTACTCACCAGGTGAAGCACGGTGTTGACAACTTCCCGATTCGACACCTGTCCCACTTCGATCAGCCCGATCAGCACGGCGAATTTCAGGCTGTCGTTCATCGCCATCGCCACCACCTCCTCGGGCCGTTTAATGTCACTGAACGGTGGACTTTTCATGTCCGCCATCGCAACGATGATTTGAGCTGACAACACGTTTTCCTCGCGAGGAAAATCTACGATAGTTTACACAGAGACCGTCTTATGAACGAGAACTTTTCCCCGTCACATGATAATACAACACAAATTGATCTGCCATGTTAGAAAGTAGCACTGTTATGAGGAGTCTGCCAGTACGGTAACGCGAAACACCCTAGCGACGCGGTTGCAGTACCAACACTAACTGATGCAAGGTGGTTTATATTTGTTCGTATTTTAAATACGGCATTAATAATACGCCTAAAAACGGAAGGTAAATTTCAATGCGATACAATTACAAATTATTTTCATTAAATTAATTATATAGAATATATGTTCATATTTTATATTATTTGGTTTGTTACATGAAAACGTTTGGCAATTTATTGACATGTTATTGATTTATTTTTGATAATTATAATTAACACTCATAAGATATATAAATTGTATGAATATTTATATTGCATATTTATGGAATCATTTTTATGCATAAGGGATACCTGTCGCATATATTTAGTTCCACTTTACTTTTAATGAATAAACATTGTTGATTATAATGAATTACGATGCATATGTGTGCGATATTGTAGGAAACTACAATATGAGTAACGCACGCGTCACTAATAGTAAAAATGGCGTCGGTAGATGTTGAGCGTATCAAGGTAAGTGTCATTTTTTCAGTTTTACGCCTATATTACATCACACCAAACAATTGTGTCTGTTGGAAACTAACATTGAAATATCCTTTTGTGTATATAAACATAAGTTCAATCCTCCGGTGACGTATGTTTAATGTTTGTAGCCTGAAGGGCGTTGGTTCTGTAATAACAACAGTGGTCTTATTGAATCGTTCCGTATATGGATAGTACTGTTAATTTCCGGACGACTTACTGACGTTGATACTTATGGGTCTTTTATATTTTCAGTTAGAATCTTCCATACGTAATTTAAAATTGTCTGGTCATGTTGGATTTGACAGTCTTCCAGATCAATTGGTGAATAAATCTGTTCTGAATGGATTTGTGTTTAACATTCTTTGCATCGGTAGGAAATATGTTACGTTTTAATGTGTGTGACAATGATGTTCATAACTACTAGTACCTATCGTTGTGTTTGTAACAGGTGAAACTGGACTTGGAAAGTCCACTCTTATGGACTCTCTCTTTAATACGAGTTTCGAATCCATTCCAAGCCCACATAATCTTCCTTCTGTGAAACTCAAAGCCCATACTTATGAATTACAAGAGAGTAATGTAAGGTTAAAGCTTACTATTGTTGATACAGTTGGTTATGGAGATCAAATTAATAAGGAAGATAGCTTTAAAGCTGTTGTTGATTACATAGATGCTCAATTTGAAGCCTATTTACAAGAGGAGTTGAAGATTAAGCGATCTTTAGCAACTTACCATGATAGTCGTATACATGTTTGTTTATATTTTATTTGTCCGACAGGGCATGGGTAAATATGTAATATAAAATATTCCTAATGCAAGAAACAATTATCTTCTGAATTGAACTAAACGCTTGAATGTATAATTGTAGGTTAAAGTCAATCGATCTAGTCTGTATGAAGAAACTTGATACAAAAGTCAATATTATTCCAATTATTGCTAAAGCTGACACGATATCAAAAACAGAATTACAAAAGTTTAAAGTATGACAAAAGTTACTACGACATAGAAATATTTCTATGTTCCATTCTTACATTACATATTTGTTTCAGAGTAAAATTATATCTGAATTACAAAATAATGGAGTCCATATTTATCAGTTTCCTACTGACGATGAAAGCGTTGCAGAAGTAAACTCTAGTATGAATGCTCATGTACCTTTTGCAGTAGTTGGTAGTACAGATTTTGTTCGAGTTGGAAACAAAATGATGCGCTCTCGTCAATACCCATGGGGTACAGTACAAGGTAAAGTTAAATATTTCAAATAAAATGTATGGACTACCTAGAAATTGGTTCTTCTTATAGTCGAAAATGAGTCCCATTGTGACTTTGTTAAATTGCGTGAAATGTTAATAAGGACAAATATGGAAGATATGAGAGAAAAAACGCACTGTCGTCATTATGAACTATATCGTAAGAAGCGTCTAGAACAGGTAATTCATCCTGTAAAATACAAATTTCTATGTATCTTAATATTCGATTATTTATAATTATGACTTCTAGATGGGATTTAGTGATGTTGATAGTGAAAATAAACCAGTTAGTTTTCAACAAACTTGTGAAGCAAAAAGATCCATCCATTTACAAGAACTCCAACAAAAAGAGGATGAAATGCGACAGATGTTTGTGGCACGAGTGAAAGAGAAAGAAGCTGAATTAAAGGACGCAGAAAAGGAGGTAAATATATTTATCCTTTTTTTAATTTTGTGGTAAATTATTGATACGATAATTTCATTTATTTGCGTGTTTTTTTTTAGCTTCATAACAAATTTGATAAACTCAAGAAAGATCACACAGAAGAAAAGAAAAAATTAGAAGAAAGTAGAAAGAAACTGGAGGATGATATTTTAGAATTTAATAGACGAAAAACTCAGTTCGCACAACAACCTCAGCATCACACGTTAACACTAGGTAAAAGCAAGAAGAAATAAAAATGTCCGCCATTGATGCCACAATAAATAAATACGACGCCCCATTTTGTATTTCTATACATACGAGTATTATTATTTTAATCACGTAATGACTACTTGACCACCAAAATTAAAATTAAATTATCCAGCGTACGCAAACGTTACAACTTATATTCTTACGCATTTCTTTAATTATAGATTTTAATTATATCAGACTGATTATCGTAACAAAAGTGATGTTTACCAAATTTAATTTACTTTTTGTATTAACATGTGCACTTTAAGAAAAATAAAAATATATTTGTTACCTACAAATAATACACCCGGCATTTTTTGTTCGTTTTAATCAATTAATTATGATTGCTATACAAATGTCTAATAGATTCAGAATTAAATATTTTATTGTTCAACAAAATATAACAATTAACACAATAGTATCGTACTTAAGTAAAACTAACGTTATTAGCATTATATATATATAACGCTATATATATACGCACTGTGATTATAGGCTAGTTTTACAGAAGCATTTTTTGATTACTAACATTAAGTAAAAAAAAGTGAAATTAGGATGTACAATATGATTATATCACATTACAAATCATGAGAAAATAAACAGAACGTGATTAGGATTAATTTATAATTAGATTCATAAACTTCGTAAATTTAATATCTTACTTCTGGAAAAAATTGCAGGGCTCGTAACATTATACAAATAAATTTACACGACAGCAACTAATATATAAACAAAACGCGGAAAAAAATTTTTTAAAATTAAATTTCATTTGTTGAAATGTTCTTTAGAATACTCTGCGTTGGATAAAGCAGGTACGAACAACTTAACCAAACTATAAACATACTTATCGAGTAACGCGTTTACGATAATAATATAATATGGCGGAATCGTTTCATTCGCGCGTAGCAATAATGACACTAAACGTACTCATGAAATAAATTTTTTTTCGGTTATTACATTTGCAATTCATTGTGTTATAATTTACAAATAAATACATTCTGCGAATACGAACAAAATACCTAGAACAAAATAGATTACACACTACGCGTCGAATAATAATAATTTACGAAACATAACGCTATGATACAAAATCAATTTAGACGAGAAAAAGGAAAAAGTCTAACAAAAAAAACTTTGAACGACAACGTTAATAGCCTCAACGTGCCGACATTGCTCGTCGTATATTTCTTTGCTTTGGTATTCCTTTGCACACTGTGTCCTTGCATTTCTGTGAACCGAATAAACACACGTCGTCTTGTAATTTCGATACAATATGTTCTTTGTTACTCCTTATCCTACGTATTTATTATAAAAGTACAAAACATATATTATGGCAGTTATCGTGAAGCATTTTGCATGTTAGCCGATTTAATACGTATCGATTATGTGCCAAAGTGTAAGAATTATCGCCAGGGTCGGTAGATACAAAAACAGTATAAAAAGATAATTTATCTTTGAGATAATGAATGAAGTTTAAATACACCTCTAACACGATGGTAATGATTCGTGTCAATCAATTGACACTCTTTTATAATAATCTGACAATAGATGATCATATATTTTAAGCGTACTATTAATCGATGTAACCGACCCTGTTATTTGTTACAATCTATGTGCCTTACATTGCTTATCGCGAGAGATAATTAAGTGCACTACGAGATTCGCCCCTGTGGGCCGCAGCAATGACCAAGTACAAATAAGTAATAATTATTATATATTTGCTTCACCCTTTTCTCGTTTGCTCATAAAATAGATAGTAACCCCACAATCTCATAAACGATTACCTATCCTTTAAAGGTTTGCATTTCTACAAAAGACGGAGTCGTTCAATTGGAAAACACAATTTCCTGTAGTTCTATTTAGCCCGTCAAGCTCGATTTAAAATGTTACCTGAGTCCTTAATTGCACTTTCTTCTAATTACACGCATGGGTCGACTTCGAAGCAGCTTGTTCGAATCGCAGCAGACAGATTGTTGGTCGTTATCTTCGATGCAAACGACATTCCGATAAGCCATTATTGCCCGTGATCGTTTCGACATACCATTACGAACTTTGGTCATTGCGGTCTTACGTCTACCTCTACCAGGTGCATTGCCCTCCCGTCTATTTCTGTTAGACAATTTCCAAATCAAGCGTTAATATGCCTGTCATCCATGGAATGCGTGACACTTAAACGTTTACGGGTTCAAACCAGCGAATCGTTGTTATCTACGAAAGGCAAGTCCTTGTACTTTTAAGTGAACTTACGTAAACGTATAGGAAAGTACAAATAAACACCAATCGCATTTTACGTACATACATAGTACATACAACGTAGCATAAACGCAACACGTAACTCGATGTGAGTGTACAGAATAAACGAATGAATGTATATAAATCTATACAATAATATTCGTTGAAATTCATACAAGAGGAAATGATAAAGTAAGTATCAGTGAATATCGCGTAAAACCGAGATTCCTCGAGAAGAAGATGGCATATTAACACGCTTGTTAGGAGGTACGTGAAACATTAGTGCTCCCCAACCGTATTACATGACATATAAGAAAAAATAGTGCCATCCCCTGTATAACTTATGCATGTATGAGAGACAGCGGTGCACTTGATACGAGTTCTAGTGTATATGATCACGAGAATAGCACAGAGATACCTTAGCTGATAGTTTTTCCAACGACACCTGGCAGAACTAACGGATCCCTCGATATCATCAACGCACCATTGACAGCGGTTGGAAAGAAGGAAGGTGAGACTTCTCGAAGGCGCTACCGACCTCTGTGAGCGCCATAAAGAACTAGGCGTCTGATATTTTCGCGGTTTGCCTATCAGCATGGTAACCCTGCAGTCTCGTGTGCTTCTACGATCCGAACAAAAATACGGAACGAAAGTTGGCCACTCTGTCGAACTATCTGTCACGTGTGTCTCTCTACTTGTACGAAACGAACCAACAGCAGCATGAACGTGAAGTAGCGTGGACTTGTAAACAGGCACTGTGCTTTTAGGCTAGCGGGCCGAGACGGATTCTGGCGGAGGGCTGCGATACTTTGCGCGAATGGGAAGAAAGTTGGTGTGCTTGTTGCCGTGGAGTGAAGGCGGCGTGCTCTCGCGGTTGAGGGTCCTCACCTGACAGGGGTCGTGCCTCGCCAAGAAATGCTCCAAGGTGTCCCAGCCCCCGCCCACTCTGACCATCATGTGTCTCCCCTTCAAAAGCTGCGAACACGTCGCGTAGCGTTGTCATTAGTAACTAGTCGCGCGTTTTTCACTCTATGCTGCGGACTAATAATGCTAGGAAATTCATTTCCATTCGAATCGTCGTAAGTCATAGTGTTGCAATTTTATGAATTAAAAATGGTAATTAATGGCAAATAAATTTGAAAATGAAACGAATAGCTGGGATAATACTTGCAAATGAAAATGTCATAAATCTTATTATAAAATATGTCATGCGAATAAATTTGATTACAGATGTAATATCCAATGTGAAAATCGTAGATGCAATCTTTATTCGAAAGAAATTTCCGCTCTTGAAAGAAAAACATAATACACACCCTGATAAAGACATTTCGTCCAGCGATATGGTACCGTCCTTCGCCAACCTTACGCACCTTCAGTTTGGAACATCTCTCAGAGGGGCACTGGCAGAGTCTCTGCACGGCCTCTGTGGCTCGCCTTACCTAAAAACATCAAACAGGCCACGTCGCGTGGTGTAAAAGTTGCCCACGGAATCAGGACGACATATTTTTACGCAGTGCGTTCTGACAGACGACGCTCGAATGGACGAAGAGCGATCGGCTGTCACGATGAGATAAATCGGTTCGACGTGTTGCGGGGAAAGTCGATGCAGGGGCCTCTCAGAACATCCGCTGCGCGGCATGCAGGAATCCGACACGCGAGGATCCACGAGCATGCAAACGCATACGTGAAAAAGCTTAAAGCGACCCGTTCGCCTCCATTGTTCTTTTCTTCTCCCTTCCTCGTGTGACCGCCATTCATGGCGAACGTGATACGATGCAAGTTACGCGTGTGCACAGGGCAAATTGCATGCTCGTGGTCAATGTTACTTGCGTTCCTTAGGCAACAGCGAAATTAACCTCTTCAAAGTGTCTGGAACGCCATTTTTAACCCTTGGAAGACGAGACAGAGTGCTTGTTACGTAATCAGTATTGTATGTCAATGAAATAAGAATAAAAGAAGATGTAATAGCGCGCATTGTTTCTTGGTTAATGGCAGTTCTAATTTTACACTTGTTTGAGGTTAGTTTTTGAGTGAACCACTTTGGAATTCACGATGGGTGCTCTATTTTGAAGTCTGACTTGCAGGCTGTAGCGTTTATTATGAATTTGCTACTGCAGAATAACGCGAATAACACGAGAATGAAAGGAAATAAAGAATTTTAACGTGGAATTTATTTTGAGGTTATTTTTTGATTTGTTGATTTTATTCTTGGAACTCGAATGTACCTTTTAATGATAAAATGTGAAATTCTGAAATAGAGCAAGGTGTGTTTGAATTTATTTCAAGACCATAGAAACTGTAGCACGTGTGTTAAATTAAATTGCTATTTTATTTGTAACTTACAATGCTCGAATTAATAAAAAGTAATTGGTGCATGACCCGAATATCTCAGCCGATTTAGCATGAAATCGATAAATGAAAAGTTTCTACTGACATTCGCAATCAAAACTTTAAAACATTTCTATCAAGAATCCTCACGTCCACGGTGACACATTCACAACCGAATCTATTCTACACCTAAATAATACCCAAAATAACGAAACTCTTGCAATATTTACACGCAAATTGTATAATAATAAAAAAAACGTGGAACGCAATTTAGAAAATACTTTTATCAAAATGAATTGCCCAATTTGAACATACAGGGTGAACCATTTAAACTATCTTTAATTATTTAATTACCAGAATATCGACACAAAATTATTTTACAAATGACACAGTGTCACACAAATGACTAAAAAGTGACAATAAATGAATTTACAAACACTGAATTTTTGTTACAATTAATATTTGTACATAACAAAGACCATGTATTGGTATACATTGATAGATATACATATATACCACAGGCAGGGAAAGTTAGGCTAGCAATAACTAAAACTACCCTGTATATATCAAATATATATATACACCACACAAAATACTCTTCCAAACAGCAAACTCCAATATCGCAACTGTAAATTAGCTTTGTAAATTAATAGAAGGTCTATGGAAGCAGTCATTTTATATCGAACGGAGAAGCGCATCGGCCATCATACCTTGCGATCGAGTTCCGTTATGGGACCCGTGTGTTCCGGCGGCTCGGCCGGCGAGGACAAAGGTGAACTCGATGGCGATGGGACCTCGTCTGGGTCCTCGGCGCTTCCTCGGGACCAGTCGTCCTCCGTCGTGTCGCTGGGTACGCCATCGCTACCCGCTGGTCCATTGTCGCTCACCGACCTTCTCATCTCGGGCTCGTGCGTCACATCAGTGGTCGGGTCCAGCCATCTCGTCGCCGTCAATGCGACTTCCGATGCTGAGCTGCAAAATATCGCCGAAATTCAGTTAAAGAGCGATCGAATACTCGATACAGAAGAGGATTCCTTTGTCTCGTTACCTAAATTTTAAAGCACCAAAATGGCTCCCAATGCTCTCGAATCGGGGCTCTAATCACTCGGGCACTTGACGAATTCTTTTGTTACCCGGGTTTCCGATTTTTCCCCCGGATATAGCACACGGTTGACATTTTCAAGTTTCTTTTAAAATATGGGTCAGGAGGTTTGGTTGTTTAAGGTCATTTTTTGTTTGGAAGCTGGGACAAGTGAAAAGTTTAACTTTCTTCTCGAGGAGAAGGGTTCATAGCTATGCAGATTGTAGCATGATCTTTGTGTTTCTTTCAGACATGACTCATCCTTTTCGCCTGTTTCTTTTATTCTTGTACTTAGCTTCTTAGCTTTCTTTTACAGGCTATTTGGGGAGTTTTCAGAGGAGTTTCCTCCTCGAATGACCAAATCACGTGGCTTGAGCAAAGCCAGTTATAATCCAGCTGTTTTTAGATTTATTAAACTGAATAATTTGCAGTGGTGTACTGTAAAACTTTCTCATACGCTGATTTAATTTGTTTCGAGTAGCATGTATCAACAAATTTAATAAGTAATCTATTAATTTCATAGAGAAACGATAAATATTTTCTTCTACAGTTATTACTTCGTCTCAAATTAAAAGAAAGAGTGCAATATTTAAACAGCATCTTTAATATCCACTGTCCATAGAATTCGAAATTTTGTGAAATGATTATATCGATATCCTTATTAAAATTTGTATTATTAAATATTGTCTAGAACAAGTAACTATAACAAGTTACATAAAAATTGTTCTATTCAAAGCTTACGCGAAGATTGTTCTGAACAAACGTGGTCGCAGGACGATTACAGCAGACCAGAGGACAGGGATTGAATGGTTAATCGATACAGCTTCTTCAAATCGATTGAAGCACAAATTGCACGACAACGACCTCGTCGGGTAATACAAATAGAAAAAGAGAAATGAAAATGCATGTACCTGCTGTGTTTGATCTTCTCTGGCGTGGGTCTGGGCGTCGCGGTCGGGGACGGTGATTGAAATTGCCAAGAAACCAGGCTGCTGTGGGATATACCGCTATCGGACAGACAGTGAAGATCTCGCTCTTGTTCGGCAGCGATTTCCCTCTCGAGCTGCACGAGTCCAGGTGGTTCGACGGAGTACCTGGACGCCAGCCGGGCTACCTCCAGCAGGCACAACACCACGTTCCGTGGTTGTCCGTGTAGAACTGCAAAATTCGGTATTACTCTATCAATTTGAAGAATAAATAATAATTTTGCAGTAATCAATATCATTTGTAGTATTGGGTATTAAGTAATAATTTAAGTTAAATATCTAAGTATTATTATTACTTGAGATGAAAATAAAATGAAAGGTATCATACTCTTTGGTCATCTGCTATCATATATCATATTTTATATACATAGATTGTATATTATTGTGGAATATTCGATATATATATTAGGACTGATGTACATGTAAATTGTGAATAAAATTTTAATCAAGTACAATTAGAAGTATTTAACAAAAAATTGTAGAAAATTTTGGATAGGACTTAAATTTGTTTTAAAAGAGAAACAACTACAAAACCATGTGAGTTATTACAAAAGAAAAATTGTAGATAATATTATCAATGATAAATTGGATTCAAAGCAGTACATGGTAATTTTCCATTACTTTAAATATTCATTTAATGATAGAGGGAGAAGATGGTCGTTCTGGAACCACATGTAAGTTCGAATCGATTAAAAATGCGCTGTGAAACGGTTTATACAGTGGTCGGTTACATATTTATTTATAAGGAAAGGGATAATTGGAGCATAAAAATCGTTACAATTGAAATACAAGGTCAAACAAAACATATGTCGAAAATATTTACATTTTAATGGAAACTTTCTATCTAGAATTTATACGATTTCTTATATAAAATGATATTCGCAATTTATCAGGTGTATCAAAGCTATTCCATACAGCTGTCTCTCCTTTTATAATATCGTTGTTGTATCGTCCTATGTATTACACCATGGTTCATAAGGTAACCCATAAAATTGCAACAGTCCACGAGAGAGGCTCTTTACGACCGTCTCGTCTACTCTAGACAAGGAACAAAAATGTAGATTCTATTTACAGAGCGCAAGCGATGACACCCTCGACCTTCTCCAACTCCTACAAGTGTAATTGATCAATTCAGCCTACATTTCGTGGTACATCTCATTTCTTCATTAAAATAGATCTCGCCAGTTAAACGAAACAGCCACTAAACACGTTGCAATCAAATTTCAACCATATTCTAACCTAAAAAAATGTTTCATTTCGTTAACCTACATTGTCGATTAAAGAAAATTTACTGTATCATAGTCAACATAGTCTACTATAAATATAAGAACAATTTTTCTAGATTGAAGAAAGAACTCTTTTAGTTTAGAAAATGGTGGTGCTTTTACATCCATTTCATCTACTTCCGCGAGCCATTTTTTCTATGCTCCACCGGTTTATAAAGAGACAAAAGCTTTGTCCCGCGTAAAAACATATCCAGCGATTTTACGTTCCCAACACGACGACGAGTATGACACGAAAATCTAGATTCACTGGTTCCTGTTCCAGCGAAGGAGAATTTCAAACGCGAGCGCCACAGCACGACACAAAGGGAAAAAAGGGAAGCTCCGCCATTATACATGGCTCAGTGTATCGAGGTTCGGACGCGTGTCGCATTTTAGTGTCTGCATCGTTGCTGTTCAAGTTGAGATGATGTCAACGCTGCCCTGTTTCAGGTATTGTACTGTAGGAAATCAGCGTGACACGGGATATATGCGAGAAATGTCTGTTATTAACAGAAACATGCGATGAGCAAACCTCACTTGTAACGCGAATCACATTGTACAAATACTATTTGAGATACTGAGTAATATTATTAACCCTTTGCACTCGAGAGGTGACTCTTAGTCACCATTTAATCAGATTCTAAAGATCGATGTTAATTAATATATAAAATTTAAAATTACCTAACGATGCGTGGAATATCGAAGAAAAATAATTTTGCGTCTTAATTTGCATCTGATTTCTCATTTACCATTTCAAAAATATCGTCGACTCTGTGACAGAAAGTCTTCGAATTACTATTTTTCTGTAAAAAGTCGTCGAGTGCAAAGGGTTAATATCGCGTATTGTATTAATGAGAGAATGTAAGAATGCCTTTCAAAAAATTTCGTGATGCTTATTTATGCAGTACTTTCTAAATATCACCTTTCTAAATCTTTGCATTTAAAGTAAAACATTGTAGTTATCAATTGACAATCGCGAGGGAATGACGAAGTACTTTCGAAGTAAGTGAATAGAGGTTACTAGCTTCGAACGTTCGAAGTTATTGGACGGTAAAGTAGCGGAAAGTAAACTTCGAAACTTCACAGATCTTTTTTTCTGTCTCAGTTACGGTACTTCAAGACTTTTCTACACGTGTACGAACACAAAATAGAAGAGAAGAGCATAATGGTAAATAGTGAAAGATGTAATAAAAGTGGAATTCGAAAACTATTCATAAATTGATTAGGAGAGAAGAATGAAAGTAAACAGACTTCTAATTACTTTTCTAATAATTATCAAAAGATAATCTTCACTTCAAGATACGTTAAGCTAAATGCAAAATAAATTTTCAACGTTAATGGCTAAAATTTTTATATCGAACATTTATTCCATATAAATTCATAATTGAAGCATCAATTCCTGCAGTTATCCAGAATATTTTTTAAATTCTCCAAAATGTCGCTACGCTAATTAATTTAATCAAAACTAACACTCAGTATTTTTATAAAAATTACTTCGTCGATAAGTTACCGATACTGCATCAATATTAGATATATCCTAGAACAAAATGAATTTCCACCCAAATCCAATTATATCGAATAATAAGATCTAATCGTGGTATCGTATACTATAACATAACCTTAGTATGATATTACGTATAGTCATCCTACAGCATATAGCATGTAGTTGCACAATAGTAAAGTCCAAGGTGTGATCGTATAAAATTGTACAAAAAGTTCTCGTTATTATTGCCCTCCGTCTCTTCACCACCTTCCAAACGTTCACACCCGCGACATAAATCCTGCGCCATAGGCTTCCCTCTTGACACGTGACTCAATGAACCATTTTTACGCAACCCCATAGCTCATCACGCCCTCGTGATTGCGTCACTTAGGCGGTCACGCAAGTGCGTATTGTTCCTCGTTGCATTGGAAGTCGGTCGGGCGTGATAGAAACGTTTTCTCGTTTTCGTCGTTCCCGTCGCGAGACGCGCTTAATTCGCGCCGATTACACTTTACTCTCGCGGTCGCTTTGAATTTGCATAGCCACGCGCAACCGGCTACGCAACGTAATTGGCGGGATTTCGCTTTTAATCGACTGGGTTACGGTGGGGCTGTGCGAGCAGAGTGGGGGAAGCGAGAGAGACAGCGAAGGGTCCAGAGTGGGGGAGAACGAAGCGAGTCGAATTCGTGGAATTAAGATCGATTAGCGAGAAGACTTTCTTACCGAGATCGTCGCTCTCGAATAGGAGATTCTCGTGGACGCCCAAACGCCTGCAGAATTGTATGAAGTTCTCCATGTTGTCACGAGAGAAGAAGCTGCGGCGCGCTGCGTTCTCCCAGCAGCGCCCTCTTATCACCGGCATTGGCTGAAAACCAATCACGAGAGGGCGCTTGATACGTTATCATTAACAAAAATTGTGGAATATTTAACAGGATTATACATACTGCATCGCGTAAAATAAACATAATATCTTATATAAAATATATAGATATACGAAACGCATAGGACTTTTCGTTAATAATCAAACTAATATTTTTCAGATGAAACTGTCGTTGCATTTCGAACAATCAATTCTACAATTATTTGGCACAAAAATTATGAAGAAAATTTTTCTTTTCACTCAATTTACAGAGTCTCGTTAAATTAATTACAGAGCTAGTTAATAGCTAATATTTCACAGCCATAACCTATACACAGAGGTATGGGCTACCGTAATATATTTAACAGTAGGTCCATCAATTGGTCTTGTGGACCCAAGATATATACAAACGATAACAATGAAAATGTATACTGAAATTAAACAGGTACATATAATTATTTTTCTATCTTCAATTTTATTACGTTATTTTCATTGTTATTTAACACAAAGGAGCCAAAATGATTAGTTTCAGATATTTTATTTTTCCAGCTAGTAAAAATCCTAATTACAACAGGTACATATAATTATGTTTCTATTTTATAAGAAGGACTTTTACTAACTGAAAAATGGAGTACTTGAAACTAATCATTTTGAGTGCTTTGTATTGAATCGATACTACTCCATCCCTTTGCTATAACCATCTTTAACTGTCAGGAATAGCCATTTGACAGCGCAATTACTCACCCCTTTCGCTCTTCCAGCGTCAATCGCCGTCCTCGCCTTTTCCTGTATGACCCTGGCCAGTCGACACACCACTACGCCATTGTCCAGTGCATCAAAGAAGTTGTCTCCTGACACGATTTCGGAGCCTGAAACACGAATCCACGTTCATCACCACTGCTCACAGAAACGAGATTTTCGTCGTGCTCCACGTGATCCTCGAAACAACTTTCTCAACAACGTATTAATCCTTACGTCGGCCCAATGCATGGCGTAAACGGTCACTCGAAAGCCGACGAGAGTATCGAAGAGAGTGGCGCCATTGTTGAAAACAATAGGGCAGCCCCCTAGGGTTCTACGCTATAATCGAATTCTTCTCGAGCAATAGCAGGGTGACTTTCGCTTTGTCGTGGAATTTCGTGCGTACAGGTTTTCAGGGTCCTCAAAGCTTTCGAGAGAGCTATAGAGAGAGATTTAATTATATCCTTTTACAACTAGAGGCGTTTCTCGAGTCACGATGATGAGGATTATGCGTTGATCGCTGTGGAATAGATCGATGCTCATGGAAATTGATTTCTGAGTGTAATATTGGTTCTCCTAGCCTATTCCTCGTGACGAAATAGCTAATAAGACATTTGCTGCACTGCGGGGAACATATTAGAGAGGGTGAAGCTGAAACACAGCTGACGCAATATCGATTATCGAGGAATATGATAGCGAGTAAATTAATTTGAAATATCGAATAAATTAATAGAAAAGATATTACAAGATAGTAGATACAATGTAAAATTAAATATGTAGTAACTTAGGAATCAGAGTCTGTATTACCATGTATCATAATCATTAAGAAAATTTTTATTCTACACGTAACCTTTAACAATCATTCTTCTTCCAGAAACCAGTTTTCAACGTGTAATCGTCGATTTCAAAGAAGTAGAAATTTATACACGTGTTCCTGAGAATCAAAAGTTCATCGTGCATGGAATATTGAAAAATCCAACGGGGCCCTGAAGCACGCGGAAGGGAAAGCGAATTAGCCCTTGTAGAGGCACGTTGGCGCGCTATCGCGGCTCATCAAAGGCGACAGAGGTCTCCGAGATGACACGACTATCAGAGGACGTGAGAAACCATTCAGTGGACCGTTTCAGATTTATCTGTCTACCTCGCTACCTGAACGAATCTCCCTTTGGAACGAGCCCCGTACCCTCTCTTCCCTTCGCCCCAAAGACTTCCGTAACTCCACGGGGGTACACGTTGCTTCCTTGGTCCACGAAAAGCTGAACGCTAGAAACTTGGTAGCGTGCCCGGTGAAGCGAGGAACGATCTAGCCGGGACACTCTCACGATAAGCCAACTCGTGCGTGACTGCACGAAATCATTTCAATTTCATTCGCCGGCATGTAAACAGGATCAAGGCCGAGATTTTTCGAATGCCTCGAGGCTAACAAAACGCCACTGTGATCATTTTTCTGCTGCATACCGTAGGTACTGTTCGTGGCTGGAAAATTGACCAGAGAAAGGAGTATCGTGCGAATAAGCCACACGAATTTTCATTATTAGCTAAGTGTTGCATTTACTGTGCAAGAGTGAGAAGTTGGTTAATAGAAGAGATACAGATCTGGTTGGACATAAAGCAATTGAGTGAATTTCCTGGCACGGTTATGAAGATAGACTACATGAATTTGCATTATTGGCTAAAAGTGTTATTCACTGCGCAAGACTGAGAAAATGGTTAATGGGCATGATTCGTAACAGGATCATAACATAGTATGACATATGGATATTCCTGATTGGACAAAAACCTCGCATCTAATGTGCAAAGATAAGAAGCTTGTTAAAGAAAGAGAGGCTGATTTAATAGGTCATAAAATAGTAAAGTGAACTTCCTGACATAATCATAATGAGAAGCAATCTGAATTTTTATCACTGGTCAAAGGTATCACGTCTACGAGTCACGTCACATGACAAAGAGGACGAACAGGATACATCAAGATCAAGTAGAACAGAGGGATAAGAAGCAATACGAAGCATTAACGTGGATGTAGAGTATTAACTAACAAGATAAAAACGACGATGGCTTATCCTGTTACTGTATCAGCGCATGACAGAGAGCACCTAAAAGTACCTACTGTGCAGAGACTAGAAGATGCCTAGTGAAAAGAATGCAGTCATACTGCGATGATACCTCTCACATAATCTCTAAGCTTATGTAAACCTAACTATGAAACGCTGAAAAGATGACGATTGAAGCAATAAAAATGAAAACCGTGATAACAACGTATGACGTCCACAACCTACAAGTTTGAAGAGATCTTCCTAAGGCTAACAAAGTGAATAAAAATTCAATTAGTCACAGAATGACAGGACCACCTTCTTTAACACCGATGCCAAGACGAATCGCAAGAATTGTGGTAGAATGAGAATAAAAATCGTCTAACTTGATGACCTAACTTTCCTCATCAACAAACCTACACGTGTCACCGGTAACCTAAAAATGGAGACTTCGGTGGCATCGGAGCTGCAATCAGGCAATCAGGATATTCAGCACAAACGTATAGAAACAGAGAAAGAAATAACACACGAGCACCCACGGTTCTCCCACGCTGCTGGATAGATCTCGCGGCCGGGAATCCAAGGAAAATCCGATGGGCCGCCGCGACACGATCCGTGCGCCACCTATATAGATATAGCCGGGATACGATGGGAAATAGGAACTAGGTTGGGCTGACGGAGCGATAAAGCCTCGTAGATACGGATGGTAATGAGAACCAGCGGCGTGGCTCGTGACTCGACCCGGTAACAATAGGGTTGCACCCGGGGCAGGACGGGAAAAAAACTGTTAACGGGCGGTCTTATGGAGTAAAGTCCATCACACGTTGCACCGTAGGACACACACACACGTGTACGTGCGCAGTGCACACGTGAGGAGGTAACACGCGGCTTGCATACGGACATTGGTCGGATCTGGCTGGCGAATATCGTTCGCATATGGCCTGGAGACACAATAGCGAACCCAAGCGGCGCTCGTGATAACGACGGCTGCGCTCGTAGGATGCCTAACCCTCGCTTCGATCTTGCGAAAGATCACGGGCGTGAGCGTATTCGAGTGCGAGCCGCGCGACGACCAACAACTCGGTCACCCGGAACCGTACAGCGTGGATCTAATTTATGTTTGACATTATGCGGGCCAATAACGCGGCGCCTTTAAGGGGAAAGACTCCGCTCAGGTATTCGATAATTAGACCACGGATTACCGTGTGAAGTCGAGTGTGGGAGGAATGCTAGCCCCCCCAGTTGCAGGGAGAATTGGTTCCTGTGGCTTCCTCTATATGGGGTGATGAATTGGTTTGATCATTTTTGTTAATTCACAGTGGGATTCCTTGAAGTAATTTTACTCAATTCTTTTGTAGCTTTGGACAATTGCTTAATAGGTGTTTCTTGTGGAGTATATATTTGCTTGGATCAGTGGATTTTAAAAATTTTGTTTATTATCGTGGAATCTTAAATGATGAAGGATATGTACATTCAATTTTGATTTTCATACTATCAAATCTTCCATTTTTATCTTTACATCTGTAAATGATAATACTTGATAAGTTAGGTTCTTAAATTAGTTTTGCAGAATTGTTTCAACGAGATTGAAAAGTAATAAACAGCTCGAGAAAACAGTTTGTGCAAACATCTTGCCAATCCAACATGTGACCTCCAGTTATTACGACACTTCCTTGCACGCCATTGTTCTTTCTCTCACGTAACACAAGATCTACATAAAAAGGATCTCATTGAAGTATTACCTCATTCTCTTGAATCCTACATAAGGAAAAGGAAAAGTACTTTCTTGTAGCTATTAGTCCTACCGTTACTCCAAACACGGCTCGTTATTCCCACAATTTCATTTTTATTCTCCCCTAATGCTCACTCGCTATAACATGCTACAGTGGTATCGAAAAATCACTTCTATTAGCTTCAACGAATTCCCGATCTTCCTCAACGAAATGACAATAGAGGACCAGATGAGAAGTCGAAATGGTGTTCTCGATTTAATCCAGGTTTAACCCTGTTTCCATAAAAAGGGAACGCTTCCACGTCAATTTTATCGACAGCACAATCCGTCTGTCTTCCCGCGTAATAACGCGGGATTACGCGCGCCGATAACAAGCGTACACCGTGACCCCCATTTCCTCCGCATCCTTGATACGCTACCCTTCGATTTTAACGTTCAGCTGACCTCTTTAGCCGCGGCTCGAGCCTTTTTCAGAGTACCCCGCCAATGTCGTCCTTGGCATTGTTCGATCGATGCATTAATTCGAACACGATGCATTACAGCAATAACCAGTTACCATAAAATACGAGGCGACGCGACAACTCTTGTTTCATCATCGCTGGACCCCACGCAGCTCGTCCCCGGACGAACAAAACGGAGCGCTACGCGCGCGCCACCTGGGATATGATACCGTATCTCGAACGATAACGTGGGATCTGTTGGGTCTATCACGACTGATAAAAGCAGACAGAGGTGGTACTTATGAATGGTAGACATCGTTGAGTAAGGACGAGAGTGATTTTTGAATAGGAATTTTAGAAAAAGAATTTTTCCAAATGAAAAATTTGTGTCTTTCGTGTAAACCTCTATTTGAAATATACTCTATACATGATACAAAATGAATAAAACTATGTATATCCTACTACTTTCAGCGAACTGATATCATATATCTGTTCGCAGTTGTGAAAGGGTTAACAGAGTATCATCTACCCCGATATTATGTAGGACTGTATGCAACCTAACCCTAAAACCACCTAAATTAAATACAGATACATCCAACATAACAAAAAAAAACTTCTTACACACCCCTAAATTCACTAGAAACAAATATATCAACACAGTGTCCACATCCATCGTTAACTTTCTACCATCAAAATAACCATAATTTCCAACCGCGCGAGAAACACTGTACATATGTATTCAATTTTAAAACTGTTCGTTAACAGCCCAAGAAAGCCCACCCCAAATCAAACTCACATTCCATCCCTTTTCCCAACTCCCTCGTGGCCCATAGTCACACGAATGGTCTGAATCGTTCCGCGGTGAATTCGAGCAGCGCGGCCGGGGAAGCCCCGCATGCGGGGTGCCAGTGGCGCGATTCACGGCT